CAAAATTATAATACAATGGATCTCTTCTTGATCGGACAACCACTAACTATGGTCAACGTGTGTCTCCCGTAACTAAGTTTCTTCTTATCCTGCCACTCCACAATAGTTCTGCCTCTTTGCACATCCCCAACCTTTATCTGTGGTATGCCACCTCTCTCTATAACCTATATCATCTTTCCTACGCCAAATCGATACAATAGTGGAACGGGTATGATTGTTGTTTAGTTTCGAATAAACGTTAGACCTACGTTTTTTTTAAAGTCTTAAACACTAAAAAATATTAATTTTACGATCATACAAGTAGTATGAAATCGCCTATGTAGTGGGACTGCTTAGAAGAAAAACACGCTGTACTAGAGTATTTTGATACCTCTTTGGAGACGGTGTTTGCTATAGATATCAGCTGTGTGTCGTCTTACACATTGTAGTAAGACCTGTATAAGGCATACAGTTGCGGAGGGCACATAGCTGAGAATTTACAATAACCATATCATAAGACCTGAATAAGGCAGCTGGGCTAATCGAGTGTATCAAGAAGGTAAGTTGTTTGATCACCAGAAACGCATTTACCGAATTCCAAGAATAGTGGATAAGCATTTGAGATATCTGATATTTTCAAAATACTGATAAAAATAACAATTTTTATTCATATTATTGGAACACCTAAAACTACAGATAAAAATTTATTGAAAATTTAAATTAAAATCATCGATGTTCAAATGTACCAAACTTACAATAAGAGTAATGGGGAAAGAAAACACAGGGTGTTATTAAGAGTCAAAATGTAAAATGAACCTGATGTATATCCTGTTTTGTTCAGTCGGTGTTCAATATAAACGTGTCGCAATCGGAATATTATCCCCGTCCTGGTTTATTATTTGCAAGTATACATATAAAATACATGGTTACTGTCTGGAAATATAAGCGATATTTGGGCGAAGGTAAGAAAACGTGATAGTGGGCGAGGCTTGCAAAGCCCTCTTATGTTATCGACCCGAGCCCATTTGAACGTCCAAAACTAGCTATTTTCTACAGATTTAGGGACATCTCTGTAGTTGAAACTATAAAACCATGTCGTAAACATTGCAATATACATGACATCACAATGCTTTTAGGAAGCCGGAATACATGTACGAGGCTTTCTTAGGGCAGTGACCGGATAAAGCTTTGGTTTATTAGGTTACCTTTATTAGGTCAATGCAAGGGGTAGTTGAAGGATAAAATGTAAAATACGGCAGTTCTAACTTAAAGAGAGAATCTCATAATAACATAAGAAAAAATAAAATGGTAAACTTTAAGAACTGACCTTTACCTCTTTTTGATTATAGCCTTCATCAATACTTTTTCTTCAACAGAAACTTGGAGTCGTCTTTAAATCACTCCTTGTGTAAATCAGAAAAAATGCTGGAGTCCGAAAAAAAAATTGCAGGCAGCATGTTTACACATTTAAGGATGGAAAAATTTAATCTCTGGTATTTAACTCTTTCAGGTGTATTAACCGACATCACGCTTCACTGACTGAACTCATGTTACAAGCATACAATATAGAAAAAAATATTAAAGTAAACGTAAAATTAATGCCATCGTTATTTTGTGGTAAGAGTTGTTTTTAGTGTCCTAGGTAATGCACCTGGCTATATTTTTTACTATCTTACATTTATTCTGAGTACAGACTTTTGCTCTAGTTTAGATAAGAAAATTCAATCTTCGAGAAAAGTAAAATCTGCTATTTACCTCCCTCTCCGACTTTGTATTCTTACAAGGTAGAGAAAAGGCAAATTCTGATATTGAATAAAATGATATAGAAGAAAACTTTTTAAAAAGGTTCTCTATCTTCCCAATTCGCCCATATAAAAAGTATTTAATTTTTTTTTTAGAGTTAAGGGGTATTTTTCGAAATAAGATATTTTAGAGGTTGTCATCATTAACAACATACACATCTTCATTTACACACGATCTTTGTTATTGTACCTTTTTTCTATACTTTTAGCTAGTTCATTAAACTCTTCTTCTATTTCAGGATAAACTGCCTTTGTACACACACAAACAATATAAAAATGCCAGTAGTTAATAAACATTTGATAAACATACTTCAAGTGGTGATTGTAACTATCTCAAAACACAGTACAAAGAAAAGAAAAGAGCATAATACAGGGACACCTGGAACTTCTAGAGGTTGGATCAGGTGCCTCGGAGCCGTTAGCATCCCTTTTCTATCCGTCAAACTCGTCTTCAGTCCTGCGTATTGATCATCAAGACAGCTTTTTTGTTAAAATCTATTCTTCATAGCAATACATACCGAGGGATAAGACAAATATCAGATTCTTGCGCTTTACAGTTCTCAATTCTGGTATATAAGGTGTGAAAGACAGACAGGAGTACAGACGGATGGATAGACAGGAATATGATGGGCAAGGAGACGATAAATGTTGATCTTATAAGCAGATGACACTAAAATGTTTACAAAACTTTGCATACATTCAACTAACAGATCATCGTAGTAATACTATTCCGCAAGATAAACTTGAATTACAGGCAAAAACCGTGACAAATAGTGTCAATTACAGGAATTGTCAGCTAAGTTTTGTTGGCTGTTGGGAAATGGTCCCAGTCATATGTTTTTAGAACAACACCGAGCGTCACTGCTGACACACGATACCACAAAGTCAACCTCGGTCACAGGTCTGATCTTCATGTTTCTGAAACGCACGTAATGGTATCTTACATTAGATCAGGCTGGAGAAAAGACGGAGATTTTTTATAATTTAAAATTCACAAAAATATTTAGGTGGTGAGAAAACGTAGTACTTTATTTAGAGTCAAATGATCTTAACGTTTTTTTTTTTTCGTTCAGTTGGGGTACAGTATACATGTAACAAACAATCAGAATATTATCGCTTTCGTCTTGGTTAAATTACATACTAGAATTTAATGCAACATACAGAAGGAAACGAGTACTGAAATTTGTGGTCTACAAAAGCTAGCCTTCAACAACAATGATGTTTTCTGCAACATAAACTGAAGTTGGTCTTTCAATCACTACCAGACTAAATCAGAAATAATGAGCTCTACAATGAAAAACAGGCAGCACGTTAACACATTAAAAAAAATAGATATTTTATCTTCTTTGTATGCAACTCTCTAATGCTCTTCTTTACCACCATCATGCTTTACAAATTCTTATCGCATGCAAAAAAATAAATGTCAAATTACCTGAATATTACTCCATCATTTCCTCATTGTAGATGATCCTTTTATTATGTGCCTTTTGTAATACTCCTCTTTTAAATGCACACGTTCAATGAAATATATACGAGGTTCGTTCAAAAAAGGGATAAAACATGTTTTCTCAAAATAGTGACCTAAACTCTCTTCACATTTTTCTGAGTTGAGTCCTTTGTAATAGATTAATTACATACGTTGACATTTACATGGTAACCTCTTCACGATTTGCTATCATAGGGTTGAACATTGGGAAATACAAGTTTTTAAAAGAAAATGACAAAAATTAGGAAACAGGCCAATGCTTCTTTCTACTGTTCTGGATTTTCGACTTTTCCGTTTTATTTTGGCTGTCAGTTGTCTGAAAAGTCTCCTCATTTTCAAATCATTTCTATGGGTCTGTTTTAATATGCTTGATCTTTTCATTTCATACAGTGTGTTTCATCTCATTTAATAATAAAAAAATGTTACTGCAATAAGCTTAATTTCTTTACATTTTTCGAGTTTCAGAATTATCATTTTTACGATGCTTTTATTAGTTCCACAAAATTAAAAAGATCCGATTATTTTTCCATGATCAGGAGACAGTTCTGACCTTACATGACACCACTCACAACTAGAGTGCATTACAAATGAGATGACGTAGGATTTCAAAATTCTCCGCTTTTCTTATTTCAGAATGCATTAGTATGAATTAATATTCCAGTATAACCTGTTGATGGTCTTTACATCTCTTGCTCTGAGTACCATCAATGTTGAGAGCAGGGTTGGCTCCTCTGGCTCATCACACTAATAAGTCGTTTGGACTCGGCATTTCGTAGAACCTATAGGGATTTCATCAACCTCTTTAGAAATCGGAATTTCGTAGAATTTTGAGTCGTCATAATGAATTTGATTCAGAAAAAAATCTAGTAATCTGCTCAGAGCTCGCGGTTAGAGACATTCATTCCTCCTAGGCACCTGGCCTCACATGTCGAATTTTTACATATTTTCCTTTTTTTAAGATTAAAATTAAAGCATTTAAAAGGAAATACTGTATACAGAATAAATCTTCACTTTTTTATTCCATAAGATAAACTAAAAAATTCATATATTGACGTTGCACACAGAATTCGGGCTGATTTTGTAAATGATATCCATTTATGACGTTATTGCATGCGTCGTTTAAGCATAAAAACGTCAAAAAATTAAGGCGTAACAAATTGGACTGGTCATCTAATTGCTGCTCTTACAGAATTTTCAAAATCATTAGAGTTTGAAATTACAGAATTCTCTTGATCACTAGAGTTTGATATCACAAAACTCTCTACATCACTACAGTTTGATATTACAAAATTCTCTACATCACTACAGTTTGATATTACAAAATTCTCTACATCACTACAGTTTGATATTACAAAATTCTCTACATCACTACAGTTTGATATTACAAAATTCTCTACATCACTACAGTTTGATATCACAAAATTCTCTACATCACTACAGTTTGATATCACAAAATTCTCTACATCACTACAGTTTGATATCACAAAATTCTCTACATCACTACAGTTTGATATCACAAAATTCTCTACATCACTACAGTTTGATATTACAGAATTCCCTAACTCACTAGACTTTGATTTTACATAATTCTCTAAATCATTAGAGTTTGATTTTACGAAACTCTCTAAATCATTAGAGTTTGATATCACAGAATTGTCTATATCATTAGAGTTTGATATTACAGAATTCTCTACATCACCAGAATTTGCTATTACAGAATTCCCTGAATCACTAGAGTTTGATATTACAGAATTTTAGAGGGAGGAGCGGAGACCGGCTTTAACAAGGTGACCCCTGAGAAATACACAGCGCGTCTGTTTAACTTCTGTGGCACCAGGAAACACGTGGAGGTCAAGCATGTAAAAGGAAATACTGTATACAGGATAAAATTCGCCCCGTGTTATTTTTTACCCTTTCGCTGTTACCTCATTAGTGTGAATTTAAAACGGGGCGAATTCAAATAATTCAGTATAATTTCTTAAACAAAACTAATACTGGAAGAATTTAAAACGGGACAAATTGTTTTACAGTTTGAAAGGGCAAAAATAACACAGGGCGAAAATAACCCTGTATACAGTATATAGAGAATAATAAATACCCTTTTCCATATCACATCCTGTATCAGCCCGAGACACCAATATCAGCCTGAGGGCCGAAGGCCTGAGGGCTGATATTGGTCAAGGGCTGATACCGGATGTGATGTGAAAAAGGGTCTGTATTAATATGTTTATTACATACTTAGTGATAAAATACAGCATACATTAAGCTGAGAAGAAAATAAGTAAATAATCATGCAAGGACTTCTTACATACATGTACATGGTCTATTGTCTCGTACGATTTGGGTTTGTTTCAACTTCTATTTCAGTGCACTCGATCCTTATTTGAAAATAATCTATTGCATTTATTTGTAAATTAAGATTAACCTCATATTTAAAAAGTTAAAATTAAGAGAATATGAACCCACCAAAAATTGTGTATGATCACAAGTACTGTTTTAGTGGTTTAATTTACTAAGAGTTTGATATTGACGTCACAATAGCCATATCAGCCTTACATTGCTAATATGGATTTGCGGGGCTGATATAGCATGTATAGCATATCGCATATGCACAAAACCTGTATTTATTACTAAGTGTGTAATAAACATAATTATGTTCTACATGTAAAAAAAATCCACAAAATTATGTTATTCATTTAAAAGAAATATAGATACAAAATAATGTTCCATGTGTATTTTGCACATAAAATGTTTGGAAAGCTTTTGTATTTAATTAACAACTGGATGGATAGGGAATTCAAAAAGTTGTTATTCTTATTTTGATTTTACAAACACTGAATGCTGTGCAAGTGCAATATTTATATACTGATTTTTAAAAAAATCACAATTCACACTCACATTGAAGTTGTTGGAATGGCTCTTCCGTTAATTATAACTAATCTGAAGGAAAGTTTAAGGATTTTGAAATATACAATACATAAACAGACAAGACAGTGAGTTAAAAAAACGTAACATTTATAGTAGCATTTAATTAACATTTCTGGAAACCCAAAGATGTAGTCTCAAAACAGTAACGGTAATATTTTGCAAACATTTTTTTCTTACCGCGCTAATACATGTACATATTCAATTTTTAGCACACACTGGTGCAGTTATATGAGACTAAACCACTTTTCAAAAAATCATGCAATCAAGACAGATGTAAAGTTTAGTAGCAGACAACACCAAAATTATGACAGAAATTGAACTTAAGTATAGTACATGTATCTGTTGTGGGTTTTTTTTGTTATTGAAGCCCATGAGATAAGTGTAGAATGGTTATATTTGTTCCTCTGTCTATCTGTCCAACTACCTTTTCGAGTACTCATACAATTTTATCTTTCATTTTGTCTAGTTGTAGGCAAACTTGGCAATGGGTGGTTTTGTTGCCTTTCTTTTTTCTTACGTTTCATATGCAAGAGTTACTAAATAATATTTCGTCCCTAGGTTCCACGGTCTGCGAGTCATTGGACAGTGAATATGTTTTTATTCTGGATCTGGGTTTGACTATTTAATATATCGTCCCTAGGTTGCACGCTCTGAGAGTTGCTTGGGCAGTGAAAATGTTACTTATTCTGGGTTTAACTATATAATATTTCGTCCCTAGGTTCCACGATGTGAAAGTCGCTTGGACAGTGGAGATGTTTTTATTCTGGATCTTGGTTTGACTATTTATCAGTGGAACGGTAAAATCAGCAACAAAGACAAGAGAATGAAGGTTTGTTAATTATTAACGGACAGAGTATCATTAGAATGTTAATGTTGGGGTCAGATGGGTTTGAACGCTTTTTGCCAGATAGCTCCGCTAGTAGACCACCTGACTGGAGATTCAGGGGCCTGGGTTCAAATGCTGGTCTGGTCCGTTGTAATTTTCTTCTCGCCTGTTATTGACAAGCAAGTTGATGAAACAAGAATATCAACAGTCTCGTTTAAAGTCATCATTTCGTAAATTCTATGGTCGATACAATGACCTTGTCAGCAAATACAATTTATTATTGAATGAAATGCTGACGGACGTTTTTCATACCAATTGTTAGTCCATTATTTATACACTGAATTGACGACGGATTTTTTCTGATTATTTACTGATTATGACAACGAGCACACGGCGGGTGTGACCGGTCGTCAGGGGATGCTCACTCCTCCATTGCACCTGATCCCGCCTCTGATGTTTCGGAGGTCTGTGTTTGCTCTCCTCTTATTTTGTATATTGTTTAATGGACGTTGAGAATGAATACTGTTCGTTATTTCCATATCCTTCCTTACACTTAAATACAAGGTGTACTGTTAGGTTTACATGGATAAAATTTATTTAATTTATTTGAGTTTATGTATTTAGCTCTTCTGAGCTCAAAGAAGTATAATTCTATGGCCATTTGTGAAATATTTGTCATTTTTTTTGCAATGTGGACACGTTGGTCATATCTGAAGAATTTTGTCCTTACACTGTGGCCTACTTTTGATATTATGGCTAACATAATATATCAGATAAGAAAGGTTTACAATCGTCAATTGTCAATTGATGAATCTTTTTTGTGAGAAAATGCTAACAAAGAAGGAGTATGCTAACAAAGAAGTAGGTCACGGTGACCTACTTTTGGAATTCCAAGGTTTTATCCAAAGATTTAGGAAATTTTCTCAAAATGTCGCTGGAAAATTACTGAATCATGTATCAATAAAATATCAGTTACAGAGTCTTTATCATTTTTACATCTGGGCACAGAGGAGGCTTTTTGAGATGCATGAGTAAGTTTATTTTTAGAATATATGTGTTATGTTTTTATAAATATTTAGTCAACATGGCGTATTTAGTTTGTTTCTTTATTTTGAATGAGAATAAGAGTTTTTGTTTTTCATACTTCAAGGATATAAAACTCACTGATCATATGTACATAACAAAACCAATTTTTTTTTAACTGTAAACAATTGACAATCATATGTTCACACCACATCACTGGGCAATGCAGTATTTGATTGCCCTGAAAGACGAGCGCCGAGGGAAGGCCAAGTCAGAAGTTCTTGAGGAGGAGGGGTTGTCTAAGAGTGTAAGTAAATGTAGATATTAAACTTATTTCTGTTCTATAAATAACTCTGTAGTACATGTCATTGTGTAGGCCATGCAGTACATCCTTAAACTAAAAGACGAGCGGAATGGGAAAGCTCGTTCAGAAGTTCTGGATGACGGGTTGTTATCAAAGGACGTGAGTATGGAGAGATACTAGTAGCCGGGGATTGTATCGGTAGTTCACACCCGGGAGGCTTGTATAGAGGTGTATTGGCTCAGCACTAATTAATTAACATACTAACGTGTTTATTTCATTTATGTTTTATTTATAATGTTTACAATTTTACAATATGCACTTGTTTATTATTTATACTAATATTGAGGATATCTTTATTATCTAATTTGATATTGGCTTTATCCAACGAGTTGAAATAGTGTATAGATTTGCGAGGCTTGCCGAACGAATAAACACCATTTCAACGAGTTGGATAAAGCCAATATCAAATCACACAATTATAGATGTTTTATTTATCTCATACGACTTTCATTTTAACAAAACTTTGAGACCCCCCCCCCCTGCAAAACTACATGAATGATTGCTAATTCAAAATGATGACATATAACTTGAGGATGTAGCACCGTTGATGTTGACAGGCTTCGAAAGAAAGTAGATCGTTTTCAAAATTTAAAATTTTTGCTATTTGCATCTTTGAAAACATTATTTGACAATTGCTGGAGCTTTACACCAAACGAACGTCTGACTGGAAGTTGTAAGGATCATTAGATTGTGAAAATTAACTCTTTAAACGGTGGCAGTACAAAACGTGCTAGGCTAGGTCTAACGTTACTTATAGATTCATTCAATGTTGATCCATGATAAGTTACACCTACATTACTAGGTAGGCATACGTAGCGTACTATAATAAAGCATTATTGAAGATGTTGAAGGAATCTTTTAACAACAACTTAACTGCTAGGCTTCACTTTCTCCGAAAGCGATTTAACTGGGGGTGAGGCATGTCTTCAAGTAGCCAATACAGGGTTTCTTGACATTAGAATGGGATCATTTCTTTGACATATACTAGTCTTTTTCTTGTTAGCTCACCTGAGCCAAAGGCTGAAGTGAGCTTTTCTGATCAAAATTTGTCCGTTGTCTGTTGTCGTCATTGTTGGCGTTGTTGTCGTCGTCGTCGTTGTAAACTTTTCACATTTTCATCTTCTTCTCAAGAACCACTGGGGCAATTTCAACCAAACTTGCAACAAAGCATCTTTGGGTCAAGGGGATTAAAGTTTGTTCAAATGAAGGGCCACGCCCTTTTCCAAGGGGAGATAGTTATGAATTAGAGAAAAATTAATGGCATTTTTAAAAAATCTTCTTCTCAAGAACCATTGGGCCAGGAAAAATGAAACTCATGTGGAATCGTCCTCAGGTAGTGTAGATTCAAGTTTGTTTAAATCATGACCCCTGGGGCTAAGGTGGGGCCAAAATGGCCGATCAAAGTTTACATAGGAATATATAGGAAAAATCCTTAAAAATCTTCTTCTCAAGAACCACTAGGACAGGAAAGATGAAACTCATGTGGAATCATCCTCAGGTAATGTAGATTCAAGTTTGTTCAAATCATGACCCCTGGGGCAAGGTCGGGGCCAAAATGGCCGACCCAAGTTTTACATAGGAATATATTTGAAAAATCTTTAAAAATATTCCTCTCAAGAACCACTGGGCCAGAAAAGATGAAACTCAGGTGGAATCATCCTCAGGTAATGTAGATTCAAGTTTGTTCAAATCATGACCCCCTGGGCTAGGGTGGGGCCAAAATGGCCAATCAAAGTTTTACATAGGAGTTAATAGGAAAAATCTTTAAAGTCTTCTTCTCAAGAACCATTGAGACAGGAAAGATTAAACTCATGTGAAATTAACCTCAGGTAGAGTAGATTCAAGTTTGTCCAAATCATGACCCCCGGGGATAGGGTGGGGCAAAAATGGCCGATCAAAGTTTAACATAGGTATGTATAACGAAACCTTTTAAAATCCTCTTTTCAAGTACTTCATATCCATGCTTAGTGATATTTATGTGGAATCATTTTCAGAGAGTGTAGATTCTAGTTTGTTCAAACCAAATATTAACCCCCCCCCCCAACTCAGTAAACTTTTAGTTTTGATCTGATATGTACTTTTTTCTAGTAAATTGCTCAGGTGAGCGTTGTGGTCCCTGGGCCTTTTGTTTTTAACGATATTATCCCTCTTTATTATTCATTTTATTAGGTCAATAATTTTCACAAATAAAAGTTTTAATAACATAAAATCTTGAAGTGAGGGATCGTGTCAAAAAGAGAAGTGCTATTGATAAAGCATCTTTCCGTTAATGAAGCATAAGTTTATCCAACAGCCTGTATCACCAACACGTATGAGATAAAAGTGTGTATTTGTATGCAATTTATTATTTATTTATATACCAAGTAGTTAATTTATTACTCTATTTATCCCACTATGTAATCATAAACCCAGTGCAGGTTATATTTAAGGTTTTGACTTTTAAGCCTAAAGCTTATGCGGGATGCTTTATTTATAAAGGGAATTTTTAAATTGCTATTACGCCATGATAAGATCAAAAAATTGCTTTGAAATTCCAAATATATAAAAGGATATAGGAAAAATCTTCATATCAAGAATTAACATATCTCAAAATCACTGTAAGTAAGCATACATGCCTATCAATGTTGATTCAAGCTTGCTAAAAATTTGGCTACACATTTGGATACACATTCACTCTAAAATAGGTACAAGCAGTATAGGATACACATTCACTCTAAAATAGATACAAGCAGTATAGGATACACATTCACTCTAAAATAGATACAAGCAGTATAGGATACACATTCACTCTAAAATAGATACAAGCAGTATAGAATACACATTCACTCTAAAATAGATACAAGCAATATAGGATACACATTCACTCTAAAATAGATACAAGCAGTATAGGATACACATCCACTCTAAAATAGGTACAAGCAGTATAGGATACACATTCACTTAAAATGAACTCTCCAGCACTCTCCATTCTTATAAGATTAAGTAAAACATGCAATTCTTTAATATTCTACACAATATTCAACGAGCTCCTAATCTGTAGCTCCTTCATTACGCTTGATCATTGTTTCTATTTCTTGGACATTTAGTTTTATAGTCTCTAAACAGTCTTGAATTTTAACAATTCTACAATATTATACTTTCATGTAAGTTAATTGATTTTGATTATATGCTATACATTTGTTAAAAGCAATATAATCCGATAAATGATGAAGGCATTATCACTAGCGAAGCAATGGTAACATTGCTTGACTACAGGTGATATTCAATAACAAGAGGCCCACTGGCCTTATAGGTCACCTGAGTATTGTGTAACAACTTTCAAACAATTAAAGAAGTCGGTTCACTTTATGCATGAAATGGCCCTGTAGATATACCAATTGATTTATTAACACTCGATTATTCATTTGAAGCATTAAAATAAAGTAGAGACTTCATGTTTTCATACCCTATTAAAAAGTTTCTCCTGAACGCCCAGGTGTCGGAGAACTGGCTTTATGAAATTGCAATGTTCTTGAATTTTTAGGTAAACAGGTATAATTGAGTACTTTCAGGGAAGAAAAATAATATGAGCACACTCTCTTTTAATTCTCAAAAACAGTTCTATCATTAAGTAGTTGCATATTTATTATTGCATTAATTTATTTTCAGACTATGTACACCCCCCCCTTTCGGTGCATAAAATAACCACTTTGCTAGATGCACCTTTCTTCATCATAAATATATATACTTGGATCATTGGCAAAAAATTCACAATTTTTGAAAAGGCACTCTTGCTCATCATAACTATGTGCTAAGTTAGTTTATTTAATACCCAGAAGCATAGAAGAAGATTTTCAAAGAATAAATGCATTTTCACTATATAATATATAGAGCCCCGCCCTAACACTAGAACCCCTGAACCTGGGGCCATTAATTTCACAATTTCGGATAAGGCACTCTTGCTCATCATAACTATGTACTATGTTAGCTTATTTAATACCAAGAAGCAGAGAAGAAGATTTTCAAATAATAAATGTATTTTCACTATATAATCTATAGAGCCCCGCCCTAACACCAGAACCCCTAACCCTGGGGCCATAAAATTCACAAATCTAGAAGAAGCACTCTTGCTTATCATAACTATGTACTTAGTTAGCTTATTTAATACCCAGAAGCAGAGAAGAAGATTTTCAAAGAATAAATGCATTTTCACTATATAATCTATAGAGCCCCGCCCTAACACCAGAACCCCTGAGGCCATAAAATTCACAAATCTGGAAGAGACACTCTTGCTCATCATACTGTACTTAGTAAGTATATTTAATACCCAGAAGCAGAGAAAGAGAAGAAGATTTTCAAAGAATAAATGCATTTTCACTATATAATCTATAGAGCCCCGCCCTAACACCAGAACCCGTAACCCTGGGGCCATAAAATTCACAAATCTGGAAGAGGCACTCTTGCTCATCATAACTCCGTACTTAGTTAGTTTATTAAATACCCAGAAGCAGAGAAGAAGATTTTCAAAGAATAAATGCATTTTCACTATATAATCTATAGAGTCCCGCCCTAACACCAGAACCCGTAACCCTGGGGCCATAAAATTCACAAATCTGGAAGAAGTACTCTTGCTCATCATAACTATGTGCTTAGTTATTTATTTTATACCCAGAAGCAGAAAAGATTTTCAAAGAATAAATGCATTTTCACTATATAATCTATAGAGCCCCGGGAACCCCTGACCCTGGGGCCATAAATTCACAATTTTGGTAGAGGACTCATTGCTTATTACAATCATGCTAACAGTTTGCCTGCCTGATGTCCAGGAGTAAAGAAGATTTTTAAAGATTGCAATAATAATTCTAGTAGTTTTGGACCCACCCCTCAGGCCCCAGGGGGGCGCGGACCATGAAATTCACAATTTTTGTTCCCCTTTACCCATAGATGCTGTATACCAAATTTGGTTGAAATTGGTTCAGTGGTTTCAGAGAAGAAGCTGAAAATGTTCAAATGTTAACACATGACGCACGACGACGGACGAAAACGGATAGCAATAGGTCACCTGAGTTACTCAGGTGACCTAAAAATAGCGACTGAACAGAATTCATATGCGCAAGGCCAACTGTCATT